TCGACAAACCTGGTTATACTTAGCCTTCCCTTAACACCAAGTGGAATCCCCGCAACATTAGATTCTGATTAATATAAAGTATTGAATCTAGCAACTCTAAGCGAGAGGACTCTATGTGAGTGCTATGAAAAACCCATTCTCTTGGATTTAGTCTTTACCTTTTTGAAAACAAAAAAAAAAAAACTAAAAATGATGACATTTAACCTAGGTAAAAATATTTTGAGATTTATAGTCAGTACTCATGCAAATATAACATACGACAAAAATTGAATGTAATATCATTGTCTCAACCGTAATCGAATTTACAATTTGTAAAGCAACATTCAGTTCTCATGAGGGTTCCATGGACGGGGCGAATAAGCAACTAGAAATTCTTAACCCTGGGTTAGTCACCTCAGATTTCCGAAAATGTATAGTCACCTGGCGATTGACTCCCACGACAACTGAGCTACAACAGCGCTACAGCGCGTGCTATACACCGTCACTGAGGCAAGAGAGCAGTTGGAAGGAGCACCCCCGCTATGACTAACGCAGGGTTAAAGAAAATGGCTACAGAGAGAACACATACTCGGAATTAGGATTGATTGATTTATTTGTTGAACGGCATATCAACTCCTTTATGGGTCATTTAATGCTGAAAGTTAATTTTCTTGGGGGCTTTGAAGTAATAAAAATATAATATGTTATTCTGCCTTCGCAACTGAATACATGATAAATGATACTCAGCTTTTGAACATATACATTTTTGTGTAGACATAATGACTAGCGGCGGTGACGTGTGTATCTTATGTTGTAGTTATATTTTGGAATATCAGTTTGATTTCTTTAAGAAATTTGAGATATTATATGGATTAATGTCATGAAAGAGTTCTTTCACGTTTGTTGTTTGATTGATTGATTTTGTTTAGCGGCATGTCAAACTCTATGGGCTATTAATGCCGGAATCTAAATATTTTGAACGCATTTGTATGTCTTCAACTACAGATAAACTGTATTGTTGGTAATTTTACTATCAATAAGTGTTGTTCGTAAATGTTTATATATACATATTATAAATTTCTTAATTACACAGCGGCCCTTTTAGTAAATGCCCTTCAGTTTTAGTTTCTCGCGTCCCATCTCTCTCCCCCACTCCTTTTTCTCTTCTTTTCCTCTCCCTCCCTCTTCTTCTGATCTTTAAGATTAGATTGTCTATTGTGTGTGTATGTCACCACAAAATGTATCCTTTCCGGTTACATCTTTAATGTATTAGACATCCGACAACATTCATATTTCTCTCACTTAAAACGTCTTTGACTCCCCTCTCTAAAACTTCTCTCTGTTAAATTTTAATCCCCCACCTTCTCTCGTCTGTTACCCCTCTCTATAGCTCTAACATTCGTTCCACACTCTCATACTTACACTCACTCTAAATTTTATTTTTTATTTCCGGAGTTGTATTTCCTGTTTTTTTTTTTTAATTTGTAGGTCTGATGAATTGGATCGTATTTACGATTCCAATGGAATAAATTATGAACATGGAATATTAGTGTTTAAGCCTTTTTTATATATATATATATATATATATATATATATATATATATATATATATATATATATATATATATATATCAAGTATGTGGTGCAGTTCTATTTACATTACATGAATCATTCATACAAAAAAGAATAGAAATATAAAAAATGGCGGGAATATATCGCCATTTATATCATTATATTATATCTGTTTTTGTATGAATGATTCACGTAATATATATATATATATATATATATATATATATATATATATATATATATATATATATTGTTAGTAATTTTACTATATAAAATGTATTTTTAGTATTTTTGCCATAAAAATTTAATTTTATGAATTCATAGTGTTTTTTGTTTGGTGGATAACTATTTGCCAATATCTGAAAACCTAACAGGTGCTAACAGGCTGTACCTGGAAACAACAGAAATTAAGAGGTGGTTCCAATCTCCTGAAAACATCACAACTCTTGATCAGAGGCCTTTGTGCCGTATGTAGTTTATTGTCACACCTCGGACTACAGAATCAGCAAGCGACAGCTGAAATTCCTTGGCAGTCAATTGTTGAAACCTTCTGATGAGTGGACCGCGTCCACAAAACTCTGGAGTTTAGACGCTGAATATAACATGAAACACAAAGTGACATGTTTTATTTGTATTAATCCTATATATATATCTATCTATCTATCTATCTATCTATCTATCTATCTATATATATATATATTCTGTTTATACGTTATTTTTATAGATACAATTTATTTGAGTAAATGCTCTGTTTTTAATTAAATAGCTTTAATTACATTTACTGACCTGAATGTTGGAGAACTTTCGTAGAAAATATGCGTTCTCCGACAGAAATCAAATCTGCATTCCTATACGGAAACAGTCATTTGATCTGACGTGTTATACCATTTAGCTACAGAGAAGCGTCTTGCTAGCAAAGTCCAAATCACTGTTTATAAACACACAATCTTCGACAATTTTTCTCTATGGCAAGGTTAGCCACAGTGAATCTGCACCCTGGCTCTTACAAAATTTCACCATTTCTAGCAGAACTTCTATTATTACAGTGTGTGATATCTAATAAAAAAGAGTGACGGAAACGAAAAAAAAAATAATCGAAATGGAATAAGTTAGATTATACTGGGTGCGATAGGTAAATTGCCGCTATTTTATATTTTTAATTTAGCGCATGTGCATTGGGTTTGATTTTGTCGACAACACTGTATATTAGGGTCAGTTGGGCACCATCTGTAAGAAAAAGAGCGCATGACGCAACCCAGTCCGCCATAAATCTGGATTCAGTATGCTGTTTTACTTGGCATTTGCTCCGGAATCTCCAATATGAACATTTCAGTGTGTTTGGGTGTTAATCTGAAAACAGTGCAGAAGAATCGGAAAGAGTGGATGAATCTAATGGGGATCACAAAGGTGTTTGGTGTTATGTCTCCATTCATCTTCCCACAGGGCCTCAGACATAACACGGAGGCTAACATCAAGTGCTTTGGGGAGATAGGGCTGCCCTGTGTAGCTGTTGGAAAACCCTATGTCTGACAACAGGACTTTGCACCAAGCCGTACAATCAGGAAAAAATCAGTCATGGCTATCAGAGACTTTCTGTGAGCGCATCACCCCTTACATCTGGCCACTTAACTCCCCAGACTGCAACCCCCTTGATTATGATGTGTAGAGCGTAGGTCAGCGAGAGACTAACAAAACTCCTTGTAACGCCAAAGATGAACTGAAGGCAAGGATTATGGCAATTATTACCAGCTTATACAAGGAGACGGTCCAGAAGAGATGCAAGAGATTCTGAAGTCACCTGGAGGCCGAGGCTGAAAGCCAATGGCGATTTTAATGAATAAATTTACTCTTTAGCATTTTATGATAGTTTTGTGTAATTTTAGTAAATATCGATCGAGAAGTCAAACTAAGAATAATGTTTATAGCAATAAAAATCAAATCGGACTAAAAAAGAAAAACATTTAAAACTTTCTCTAGGTACACACACACAGACACACACACATATATGTATATATATATATATATATATATATATATATATATATATATATATATTATATATATTAAAATAAAATATATTATTATATACATATATATATATATATATATAAAATGTATTGTTGGTAATGTAATTTTACTATGAATAATTGTTGTTGGTAAATGTTTATATATATATATATATATATATATATATAAACTTGACGTTATTTTCTACACGTTACTAAATAAAATTTCCACTCTTAGCCTGAGAAAGTATCACAAGAAACGAAACGCGTTGCTATAACATTTTTCCTCTTGCCTTTTCTCATATATATATATATATATATATATATATATATATATATATATATATATATATATATATATATATATATGAGGACATTTATGCACACGCGATATATTGTTGACATAAATATGTCATGAACATTTTACCAGTTTTCGTTGATTAATAGTAATTTTATTGTGAAAATTTCGACTTACATAATAAAATCTTACGCAGTGTATGAATGCTGTTATTTTTTTACGCCTGATAATACCTATTGTTTATTGTTTGCGTCAAATTGTTTAAAAGTATTTAAGAGAAGCAAAGCTACAGAAAGTATTTCTTATAAAATGCTTGAAATAATTGCCTAAGTGAAGTATGCCACTGAGTGGGTCTTAGAAAATGTAGATAATCATGAAACTGCCAATGAACCTCGATTAATTGCAAAGCTCGAACACTGACATGACAATAATTGGCGGCGTGTGAAATGAAGAGAAAACGGGAGGAAAGGCAAGAGCCGGGACGTAACATCGCTAGCATCCGAATAAAATACTGCGACAGGTTGTAAGTAAAATGTTATAGGCATATAAGATCCGCGATCAGAACAAGTTCACGGAAGCGTAATATTACGACAGCCCAGAAGAGATTTCAAAGTCACACATTTCGTAATTTGGCCCCGTGTTGGTAGCAAATCGAAGGCATAAACAGAGTGCCGGTCTTCTCACTTTATGTTCTCGATTTTCCTTTCCTTTCATGGGTGGGTGGCTGACGTGTAAGGAGATAGATGCCTGCCATCGCTCCGTAGCTGACATGCTTTGATCGAAGAATATCACATCTTCAGAAAAGGTTATATGATAGCTTGGTTTGACACGGGAGAGCTGACCTGGTCACGTTGACTCGGGTCAAAGGCAAAATGTGGCGTTTTCATGGCACTGCTGTTCGTTTGTGCAGGCGAGCATTTACATGTGTTGTCAAAATGGGGAATGCAGACCTACTGTGATGGCTAGAGTTGGGGAATTTGTTTAATGGAAAGATGCCGAAGTGTCATGCGTACTGCTGCTTCGGTTGGCCACATTCTGGGGTCTTAGAGTGAAGAGGATTGACTATGGAAAAGGTATGACGGTAAAGTGGGGGGAAAAAAAGTATAAGTGAATAGAGAATTGGTGGCGATGGTGTGGGCAGGTCCTTAAAAGAGCTTGCTAGAATGAAGGAAGGGTCCAATGGAGGGAAGTAGATGTCGAGAGCAGGAAGAACTGCTTAAAAGGATGAACGAAAGAAAGGGAGATAAATGCGTCGAGGAAAAAAATGGAGATGGTGGCCAACAAGGGGAGGGAATTGGGAAGATACCTGAATATTAAACTGGGCATAGAAGAATGTGAGGAAAAAAAAAGGAAGGGAAAAAGAAAAACAGTAAAATGAGGGAGAGATAAAAGGAGAAAGGGGAACATTATAAGAAACCTGATTAATAAAGAGAATAAGTAAAAAATATAATTAAGAAAATCGATTTATTAAAAAAAAAATTGAAGCATGGAGAAATAATGGCATTAAAAATGTTGATAAGGAAATGTTGAAACGAGGCAAAATTCAGCAAATACATACACACAGGCACACACATACCCATGTACGCATACAAACAAAGCGATAAATGGACAAAGAAGAAAAAAAACTGAAAAGAAATTAGCAAGCAAAAAAAAAAAATAGAAGGAAAGATATAAAGAGAAAGAAAGAAAGAGAGAGAAAAATGGGTTGGAGAGTAAGAAAAGAAAAGAGAGAAAAAAAGAGACGAATCATAAACTAAATAAAGACAACAGAAGGACAAAGAGCTTTAAATAAACTCTAGAGTATTAATCTCCGATTTGAATAAATAAAGAGAAGAAAAGACTAGATGAAAGCCTGCCTTGTGGTCAAGATAGTTATATATTCTTCGATACTACCAGAAATTGGTGTTGCATACCGGGTAAAGAAATAAATAGATAAAATAATAATAAAAGTTGAAAAATAAAAACGTCATCTCGAATGTTGGTTTTATAGTTAGCCAGGTGGAGCATTCCCACTTGGGGAATTATCGTAAGCCACTCTTTCTGCCACCAGTTACCACTATCAAGACTTTTGTATACTAAGACAAATTTTAAATATCAAGAGACGAAATAAAAGCGAGAGATAAAAACGAAAAAAGCGAGCAAAATAAATGTAGCGGTTGGTAGAAAAATAATCAAAGGAAAATTATATTAGCAATAATACAAAAAAAAAAAAAGAAATATAAAATTAACGGGAAGAAAACGAGGAAAGAAACACAAAGGGAAAGAGAAGAAAAGAAGTCAGAATTTGGTAAAGAGGAAATAAATGAAGAATAATTGAATAAAAGAGAAATGTCGAATTAATAATAAAGAACGACAAGCAAGATAAGAAAAAGAAAAAAAAACGAAATAAAAGGTTAGGAATAAATATAATAGGGAAAGTAACAGCAGTAAAAAAAAGAAAAAGAAGAGAAAAGTGTAAAGGAAAAAAAAAGAAGTAAAATAGACAGAGGTAAGGAAACAAAAAAGAATTAAAAGAAATAAAAAAGAAAAAGAAGTAAAAGCAGTAAAATAACAAGGGAAGTAAAGGGAGTAGAAAAAAAAGAAATTATTTAATCTAGACAAAAAATTAAGAGAAGCGAAGATATACACAAAAACAAAGGTTATATAAAATATTTAACGCATACGCCTAAGGGAAATCTGTAAGAAAGAAAGAAGAAGACAATCTGCAAGGATGAAAAGATTGATAATGTATGAAAATAGTAAAAAATAAGAGGATAAGGGAAGCAATGGAAAAAAAAAGGAATATTTGGAATGAAAATGTTAACGTTTGTCTTTAATAAAGCGAAAGAAATGAAAGAAGAAGGAAAGGAAAAAGAAAGAAAGAAAGAAAGGAAAGAAGGAAGAAAGGAAAGAAGGAAGGAAAGAAAGAAGGAAAGAAATAATGAAGGAAGGAAGGAAAGAGAAAAATAAACTTAGAAATAAAAGAAAATGAAAGGAAGAAAGATAGAAAGAGAAAATAAAAGAAAGGAAAAAGAAAGGAAGTAAAAGGAAAGGGAAAAAAGAAAGGAAGAAAGAAAGGAAAAAGAAAAAAAGGGAAGGAAAAAGAAAGAAAGCAAGAAATAAGGCAAGAGGGAAAGGAAAAAGAAAGAAAGGAAGAAAGAAAGAAAGAAAGAAAGAAAAGAAGGAAAAAGAAAAGAAGGAAAAAGGGAGAATAATGAGAGGGGAGAAAGAAAAATGTTATAAAACGAAACAGATAGAAAGCCACAAGAATACAGGAGCCGAATTGTAGAAACGTAATTAGTGAAAATGAATTTCAAGGAAAGAGAGAGATATGCAAATAAATATGTCTGTAAGTGGCAGAGAAATCTATGGCTAATGAAAAGCGAGAAATATGAATATATATATATATATATATATATATATATATATATATATAAAGTCATATATATATATATATATATATATATATATATATATATATAAGACAGAGAGAGTGAGAAAGTCAAGTAATCAAGGAGAGGTGGAAAGAGCAAGTCTAGAAAAAATAAGGGAGATGAGAGAATACGCAAAAGGAAAAAAAATTGAAAAACTAGGTGTTAAGAAAGAAATATATATATATATATATATATATATATATATATATATATATATATGAGTGTGTGCGTGTATGTGAAAGCGGGGAAAATTATGCAAAGACGATTAAATGCACTGAAAGGCATGTTGAAGATAACTAAGGAAAATAAAGAGAAACGAGAGGCGAGAAGAAAGAAGAGAGAGAGAGAGAGAGAGAGAGAGAGAGAGAGAGAGAGAGAGAGAGAGAAAAGGATCGGGCAAGAAGGCCGAAGGAAGGAAAAATAGATTTGACAGTGGATGTCAGATCGATAGCTGAATACATTTTTATATCATCCTTTCTGCCGTTGTCCGTTTCCCTTGCTACCGTTTCATTCTTGTACTTATCTTTATGTACGGGCCAATGTTGTTGCCATTGGCAACAGTAAGCATAAAAGGAAGATTCGAGATCACCTAAATGAAAGTGCCACGTGCAGTGTTTTGTAAAGCTCTCCGGCTGAAGAATGCCTGCCTGTACGCGCATCCATTATGCAGGCCTCGGAACACACACGGTCACACACGTACCACGAACGCACACGACACATACAGACAGACATGATGGCTCTCGACTCATAAAAAAAAAGTGTATGACCATCGCTGAAAAATTTGATCAAAGTTTGTGCTTCTCGTGGAAACGACAATAGCTCTTCAATGCTTATTGCAGGTGTTCCAATCTATGTTATTTTGTACAGGGCCTGGCCTGTTTTGTAAAGTCTGTTCATGGAGAAGGTAATGCAAGTAAACGAATGTGTCAAAAATGGTTTGTAACGTTTCGTATTGTAGATTTCTCGCTGAACGACGTTGCACTATCGAGTGTATCAGCTGAGTCTGAAAATATTATTTGAGGATTATTAACGTTAGCCAAAACTGGATATAGCCAACATACGCGAAAGATTAATTGCTGAGAATCATTTATTCGCCTTAGTCATGTTGGTAATTTAGATGTGGCTTCTATATAAGCATATATATATATATATATATATATATATATATATATATATATATATATATGTATAAAAGAAAATGATTAGAATTTAATTATGTGCGCGATTTGTCACTTAAGCACAATGAAAATATCCAGTATTTTATTCAAATTGTAAATGACGTTGAAAAGTGGATACCTTATAAAAGCATGGAATGCAAATTTTTGTTAAGCAAGCAAAATGAACCATGATTAACTGCACCTATGTTTTTCTTTAGACAAAGAAGGTAATGCCGTGTATATATTTTCTTATTATAACGAAGTCTCATTTTATAAGGACTTCCATGGGAATCGAACGATTAATTCGAACGAGTACTGATACTAGTCGGAACAACAGGAGACAACGATGTACGAAAATCTCAAGGAATAATCACAAATATAACAAACAGGCAACATGTTTCTTTTTGACCGGTTAAAATTGTTACAGTTTAACTGCGAATTTTTCTTTCATCCGCCGTGTTCAGTACACCATAACGTTGGAATTCATTCATTGTTCTAGTTCCACATGCCACACCTTTTCTGGGTACCTCAGTTTCAGTTTAGTAGCTCAACTCTTCAAATTTTGGTTCACCTTTTCTGTGGCCAGGTATTGAACTCTTTGGGTCAAGTCACTTGAGTACTTCAACCAGCGCTTTTATCTACTGGGCCATGTGTCTTTGGGAAATGAAAGGTGCATGAAATAAAGGGCACAGTTCGTAATTCCGACGTATATCACCTGAAGAGGGCCGGAGCGTATAACGGCCGAAACGTCGGGAATATGACAATAAAGATGAGGACAATAATCCGAACAAGGTAAATGGTGTAAATATCTAAAATACTTCATCTCAGAAATATAGACAGATATTGAACAACGCATTTTCTCTTAGTTTAATGTCTGAACGGACTGGGAACTATTCCATTAAATTCAGTGTCTAATCTTTGGATTTCTCAACTATGTATTTATGCTTATGACACAACTATTTACTCCTGTCTTAATAATAGGAGGCACGGTGTAGTAATGGATAGCGGCTCAGATTGAGGAATCAAAAGAGTCAAGTTCATAATCCAGTCCTAATCCAGTCGAATCCATTACATTTACTTACGTGCTAATACCCTTGGGAAAGGTATGAATCTTCCTCTTCTAGCTATGGGTAAATCGAAGGACAGACCGGGTTCTATAGCTTTGGATAGCAACTGGTCTACAGCAGAAAGAAATGGCAACCTACTACCTCGTCAGTCATGTATCGAAAGATATATAATCACCTAAGCGTGTGTCACGCATGGCACATAACTGATTGTCACATATGGTCAGGAGCTAACCAACCTTCATTTTCCAGTCTCAATAGAATTCAAAATTCCAATAGAATCTCAATAGATTCTGACTGACTTAATAATAGAAAGATCCGACAAAGTAATATCTAAAAAAAACCCACTAAACTAATTGAGTTTCTTTTTTTCTAGGTTTTCAAATAAGACGTTTAGACATCTTGAAACCATTTGTAGTAAGTATCACTGAAAAAACTAAAAAACAAACAAACTTATTATTATTACTTACTTATTCAGCTAGAAAGAGAACAGGTTAAAATCGTTTTGTGTCAGCCCTACTGTCTTCTTGAAAGAGCAATAGTGAAAGGAAGGGAAAAAATCATTCAGTAATGGTATGAATATTCATACACTGACTTCCATCGTCAAAGTCCATTCACGATCCATAACGATGAAAAGAGGGAGCAGTAAAGAGGAAAACTGTATCAGGAGGTCACAACAGGAAGAGAGATCATCATTTCAACGAAATGGATCAATTAGAAAAAGATTCAACTCAATCCATAAGAGGTTTAGCATGTGAGAGAGAGAGGAGTTTCCGTTATGACAATCCAAAGAGCAATAAAAAAAAAACTTTAAAATGAAATCGAACTTGAAACATGTGAGACAACTTGTTACTCCAGTACAAAAATTTAGAAGATTAGAGAGGGTGAAGATCATCTTGAATAAGTCGGAAATGCTTCTGGAATATATATATATATATATATATATATATATATATATATATATATATATATATATATGAATTTTATTTCAATCCTTCATGAGCTTCCTATTTTAGCTATGATTAATTAATGTTCAACATGTCATTTTCGTTTATGATCGATTTCATCACGATTCTTCTGTTAAGCTTGGAGAGTAATTATACATTTTTATTAATAAAAGTAGAGTCCAATAGTGTTATAAAAACCTCGGAGAATTCCAGTAAAATATCTTTAATCGTTCCTATGATAAAACGGTTCAAATACAAATCTTTACAAAATATAAATATATATATATATATATATATATATATATATATATATATATATATATATATATATATATATATATCGGGTGTAACAACAAAATTGTTCAGATCGTGTAACAGCTAAATTGTCCGATTGTTAGATTAAGATTTGTATTTGAACCGTTGTATCTTAGGAACGTTTATACACACACACACACACACACACACACACACACACACACACACACACACACACACACATATATATATATATATATATATATATATATATATATATGTATGTATGGCTGAAGGGGTAAAGAAACTTTAAATGGTTCTCAATGCTTCTGTGTTAAGTACCAAAGTGCGAGATAGTATGGAAGTAAAGTACTTTTTCTATTTATTTACGCTATTTACCTGGACCGGGCAGTATGTATTTGGACTCAGTGGAAACAAGACGAGCGATAACTGAGCAGTACTAAAAATAAAAACTGGATGAGATATCCCTAGACATGAGCAGTGGAACGAGAACAATATATCTCCGCTGATTACATAAAGGTCTCAGTTCGGCATTCCCTGTAGGTTACACGGATCGCTAGACATCTGATGAAAGCCGGAAGGCACAACGACCGAAACGTTGTGAGAACAACAGCAAAGACAAAGACAACAGTACGAATGTAAACAGTGTATATAATGATACCTCCCCATCTCAGAAATTTAGACTGTTTATAATTATTTTACTATCGTTTTTATGTTTATTTGAATGATAGAAACAGTAAAATAGATGTATGTGTATCTTTACTCGTGTTTATGTATATGTATGTGTGTGTGTGTGTGTGTGTGTGTGTGTGTGTGTACGCCTGTATTGTTGTGTATGTACACAAGTGTTGAATGTCGTAGTTATTTCTTTTTTTCATGAATTTCTTGTCTCCGTATACATTTTCTTTACTCTTTTTTGTTTTATTTTCTACCTTTCGGATCTGGGTGTCAAAAATAATGTAACAATTTTAATCCAGTGTCAGAGACAGGATTTTATTTTTAGACTAGCCTTTCTTGAATATTTTAGGGTTTTCTAAAGGTTTTGAAAATATGGCTGTATTCCGTTCTTTATTTATTTCTCGATTTAATAATAGATACCCACGCAAACAAACACACCTACACCCCCATATATATATATATATATATATATATATATATACATACATATATATGTATGTATTAGCTACCGTCAAAAGAAACAGAAAAATGTCTAATGTTTCAAATGATTTTTTAAAAATGAAAAATCTTACTTGAAGCTTTTATTTTAGTTTTAATTTCACGCTAATAGATAATATTTCTAATAAGCAAAATACTTTACTGTGTCTTCAAAACCTAATTTAAATAGACTGGAAAGATTATTTTTTTTCTAAAATGGCTGATGAGTGGAATATCATTCTCTTTATTAAAAAATCTTCCAAAAATAAAATATACCTTAATCTTTATCTGTGGAATATTAACTGGTTTAAAGTATAAACAATCTGATTTAAAAAAAAGCCCCAAAAACTTCAAGTTTAAAATATCACAGAAATGCAGTTTTTTTTTTACTCGACAGTAGTTGTTTTGAGTCTGTTGATAGATCTAATGTTCTACGGAGACTTTATCTTTAAAATATAGTTGAAGAAAATGACATAGCGCCTTTTTTATATAATTTTTAAGTACTGAAAATAACCTGAAAAAAAAGAAATAAACAAAACAAACAAAGCAGGAAAATATTCTCCCTAATGTTTAATTAAATTTTAGAAATGTCTTTAAATTTACTATAGTTATCGCTCTTATTTTCTGATAATATCGTGTATCGTCGCCCAAACTTACAAAAGTGGGCACGTTTTACATATATAAAAAATTCAAAATTCATTTAAAAATATTGGTGTTTGATGATTTGTATTAAGCTTTTCCATTTATGATTAGTGAATATATTTTTCGCTTAATAATATTATCTAAACGGCCGAAATTAATACAGAATTTAAAAAAAATTAAAATTCAATAAATGTTTCTAATTAAAGTTAAAAAATGAAAG